TGGACGTCTTACATATTATCTTGAACCTGCACTTCCATAAAGAACTATTTTTGATTCATCAGTCCATTATACGTTGCGCCACTTTTCGATGGGCCAATTCAGATGTTGGTTTGCGAACTGCAAACGTTTAGCGGTATGTTTTTTTGTCAACAAAGAGACCTTTCGTGGACTGTGTGCATACAAACTTTTCTCTCGTAAGCGTCTACGAACTGTTGTTTCACTCACCTGTAGGTCAAGATCATCTTTGACTTGCTTGGCCGATGAAAATGGTTTGCTTTTAACAAATCTAACAATTCTTCGGTCTTCTTGCGCGGTAGTCTTACGTTTCCCCCCTCGTTTTTCAACTTTTGCTATATAATTTATGGCATTTGAAATCATCTTTGCTGAACATCCGAGAATATTTTTTATATATGAGTAAGATTTACCCTCTCTATAGTGTTTCAAAATAATGTTGCGTTCTGCTGGTGTACAATGATGTCCTCGGCCCCATTTGAAAGGTTTAGAAAACAATTTTACCATTACGCATACTCAAATAAATAAAGAATATGTTATAATTGAAGTAGTACTTACTTTTTCAACGAAAAATACTAAAATCTCTTCAAGTTTTGTTTACTAACTTTAAAATTAATACAACCACTGCTATTTTAATGCATTTTTTCAATTACAATATTTTTATCAAAAATATAGATATTCTACAATGTAATGAATTCTCATTTGCTCAATTTATTTATCTCATTCTAGTACATACACACATAAAAAATTAGCCCTTCTGTATTAACAGAAGGAGAGTAATATTGAAAAAACGAATAATTTTTTGGTACTGCTATTTTCATGCTCACAGCTGTATATATATAACCTTTATGGCATTTTCAAGCTCTTCTTCAAAAATTTGTATCTACGATATTATAGTTGTAAAAAATGTGCATAGTCAACGATTCTGCTTCCTTTCAATTTCATTTTGAAGAATGCGTTTTTGCCATGACAAATTACTAAGATTTTATAGCCGCAGCTTATGGTCGGGAGTTAAAATTTAGTTTTTACATCGTGTTTAGGGTTTGATTTATATGATGTTTTGGCATGGAATAAAGCACATACAGTATTGGACAAAACATTTGCAATCAACATCGAACAATGCTAAAAAGTGTTCCTAATTTTACATGTCTTAAAAACAAAACGAACTATACAACCACAGCAAACAGTTTAGGAGTCTAGAGTCATAGCATGCCATGACAAGAGCAATTTTAGTAAAATAAACCTCATGTAGTGTCTTAGCATGCCATGACTTGAGGTTTATTTCACTACATAAGAGACATGTAAACCGACATGTAATTCAGTCAGTATATGGAAGTCAATCAGTCAGTATTATCAAGACAGTTTAACGAAGTGAGTTTTATCAAAGTGTTTTATCGAAGAGCATCAATTCAAGAAGTGAAATACAACAAGTGTTTCATTACATCAATACAGTCCACATCCAACCAAGACGTTGTGTTCCACAAAGCATTATTGTATCATCACAAGGTAAATGAAACACGGTAAGCCTCGAGAAACGTGATTATTTATTTTTATTATTTTTATGACTTCAAGTGCAAAAATGGCTCCCGACAGTCTTGGATTGGAACTAAGAAAGAAAATTATTGGCGATTACTTATATAGAATGTCACATAAAAAGTATTTGTGATAAATATCGCGTGAAAAAATGGACCGTATCATGACTATGTTCCAAATATCTTTCTACAGGGAAGTTGTCAGCAGATAACATAACAGATAACATACAGTTGTCAGCAGATAACATAAGTGGAAGACTGCGTTCCACCACTTCTAGAGAAGATTCTATGATCGCCAGATACGTCAATAAGGATCCCTGGATATCATCAGTCGAGATACAAAAGCAATTAAAACTGCCTGTGTCAGATCGAACAATCAGACGACATGCTGTTGAAGCCAGATTGTTTTCTCGACGCCCTGCAAAGAAACCGCTGATTTCACTAAAGAACCAGAAGAAAAGACTCCTGTTTGCAACATCTCATATTGACTGGAATGCGCAGAAATGACGAACTGTCCTGCTCAGTGATGAATCGAAGTTCAACATCATTGGGAGCAATGGCATTTGCCGTGTACGTCAACCGTCCAGAAAACGCCTCGATTTACGTTACTGCCATAAGACTGTGAAGCATGGCGGAGGCAATGTAATGGTCTGGGGGTGTTTTTCTGCTAACGGTCTAGGTCCAATACATCGAATCGATGGAATAATAGATCTTTTCATGTATAAAAATATCCTGAAAGATGTTATGTTACCTCATGCTGAATGGAATATTCCAATAAAATGGGTTTTTCAGCAAGAAAACGATCTGAAACATACTGCAAAAGTAGTCAAGCAGTGGTTTCAAGACAACTATCTATCGGTGATGGATTGGCTGTCTCAATCTCCGGATCTCAACCTTATCGAGAACCTATGGGATATCGTCAACCGCAGAATTAATCGTGAAGGTGTTCGTAATAAGGATCAATTGTTAGAACAAAATTTCATTGATCACCTGATCGAATCTATGCCTCGAAGATGCAAGGCTGTGATCGACAATAAAGGATTCGCCACAAAATATTGAAAGCGAAATACAGTTTGGTCAACACTTTGTGGAGTTACACTTGTTTTGTCCAGGAAATTAACTTTTTTCAATACTTTTGATTAACTCGTGTACAAATAATGAACTTTGTGATGAATAAAACTTGAAGAACGTTGTCTCTAAACAGTTACATAGTTATTTCTCTAAATTGAAAAAATGATGCACTTTTATATAAAGAAACTAAATTAGCATTATTTGGTTGGACTTGTTTTGTCCGATACTGTATATTTACATGCCTTTGCACAATGCGTCTTTGTGAAATAAGAAAAGGAAATTAAAATATATTTTTATTTTGTATCACAAAATGTAAATATATAAAAAATAAATAATAAATATTAATATAAAATATAAATTATTACAAAAACAGGGACGTTAAGACTGCAACAAAAATGAATGCTCACCACATAATTGTTTTTTATCAATTTATATATCATTTACTTGAGGATGCTCTGCACTCCACTAAAATCAGCTTCAGAATAATTCAGCCAGTTTTTTTAGTTATATAGTATATCAACCATTTATCAAGAATGGTTTATATGCCTTATTACTAAAAAAATTGTAATACTTTAAGTACTTTTATCTGTTTTATAGATATACTCCATAATAATTATTGACTTTCATTGCGATTTCCTTATCCTTTTTGACCTTCAACCTAGCAGTTATCTAAATTTGAAACAAAATTAATATATACTAACAATTATAAAATAATTTTAGGCGTAAAAATAGTTTGAGTAAAAAATCAAATATTTTTTACTTCCTATGTTTCTAGTATAGCTTTTATCTGGTACGTTTCATAACTTTTTAAAAACTTTTTATATGGGTGATGGCTGGAAAAGCGCAATATGTATTTATAAAAATATAGGTAAACTTGTATGCTCGGGAAGACATTTTTGAAATCCGCAAAACCCTAAGGTTGAGAAAAACATTTAGAATTGCGGAAATATTAGGAAAAAGATAACCAAAATTTTAAATAAAATTACCGATTGATGATTAGCCTTACCAACTTCTTAGTAGATTTTTTTTGCTTATATTAAACCAAGTTTTAGTGTTATGCAACTGTCCTAGTTAACTTGTAGAAGACAAAATATCAAGATTGCTACAATATAACATTATAAACATATTACGACGGGTAATAGAATAGAACAATTTGCAATATCCACAAAAATTTAAATATTTTGGAATATATTTTAAAATTGCAATAAAATTTTAACAAATAACTTGCAATAAAAATAACATAAAAACTACTAAACAGCAAATACTAACTTTCTTTACCTTCAAAATTTTGACTCAAAAACTTATTTTTCAAAAGTGAATACCGAGAGCTTTTATAAACTTCTAATTTTGACAAAGCTAACAAAAAAACTAAAAAAAAAATTGTCGAAAAAGTCGAAAACTAAATAACTTGAATAAAACTTTTTCCAATTTGACTCTGGCAATCAAAGTAAACAGAACTGATAATATACTGGATAACTATATAAAAAACAAATATTTTTTGTTTGCAAAAAAAAAAAGGTACGTTTCTGCATCCTCCATGCACACTCCTGCAGTTGATAAATCCCTTTCAGCCCTAATACAAATCATATTATTTAATAATACTATTTATATCAATCTACACATTTTTACATCACTATTTAGAATACATAGAAATATTTTTTAAACGGTTTAATTTAAAAGGAAGAGTGAAATACACACATATAAAAAAACAACAACATAGACAGAAATTAAATTTGAAGTTTTTAAAAATATTTACGACTAATCCAAACATAAAAAAAAAAAATTTTTTCTCATTTAAATAAACATCAAAATTTAAATGAAATGCATAATATAAAAAAATTGACTTTCATATTGTTTGAAGAAAAAAAATGTTAACTAACCTCCAAATCTCCTGAATATATCTAAATTAAATCTATAATCTCCTGATTACATCTAAAAAATGTAATACTTCATTATAGTACAATATGAATATTGTATACACAATTTTTAATTAAAAAAAATACATACAACTGAGGGTTTTTTTTCTTCCTTTCATAAACAATCCAAGTTCTTATTTGTTTCCAGGTGTACTTAATGCTCAAATCTGTATTTTTTATAAGCTCAGTAATTATATCTTCACTCAACCGCCCACCTTTAAAAAGTTCACTACAAGTTGAATGCAGTAGTAACATGTCTTGTTTTGAAAACATTTTTTGCCTTTTAGGAGTAACGTTGGTCTAACAATTAAAAACAAAAAAACAATCCTTGTTAAAGATTTTTTTTTTTTAAATCAATTTTAAAAGTACGATGAAAATGTAATTTAAAAAAGTACCTTTATAGATGGAGATCTAGAAAAACTTCTAATTTTGTCATAAATTTTTTTAGGAGTTGTAACTATGTTAATTGTTGGCATTTTATCAACTATTTCTCTCATTGTAGGAGATCCATTAAATGTATTTTTTAAAATGCGTTCTTCGACTGAACTCCACTTTTTTCTGATTTTTGTGTTCTCAGGACTAGCCAATGAATCTGTGTCTAGTCCTGATAACACTGAAGCAGTACTAGGCATGCTGCCATAAAAATACTTACTGATAGCCAAACTCCCTTTTGGAGCTGTGTCTCGCATAGAACGAGTATAATAATGCTTTTTCGCTGTTTCAGGATCATGCCCCATGAGATCAGCAACTGCTTGTATGTTTCCAGTATTTTCGCGAACCCCAGTGGAGGCAGATTTTCGAATCAGTGTGGCACATATATTTCGCTTACCAGATTCGTTATAAAAAATGCCAGCCTTTTTCCAAAGGGAACCAAGCTGAACACTTATAGCACCAGAAATCATGGGCTGCCCTGACCAAGTTAAAAATATATTGTCACAATGATTTAATATTTGTGAACGTATTTTAGTGATGTATATTGTCAACCACTTGAATGTTATTGGGTTTAAAACAACATGAGCATGACCATATGTATCAAAGGTCTTATGATTCAAAACTGATATAATATAGGTTCCATCTGAGTTTAACTCATGCTTATTATACTCTCCAACAGTTATATTTGCTGTGACTCCAGATCTGTGTGCATTTCCAAGATGTATCAAAACTAATAAGTGGTCCCTCATGGTAATATACTGGGATTGTGTGACTGGTTTGCAAATCGAGCTAAATATATCAAACAGGTCGGAAGCTTCTCTGGAGTTTTTAGACTCATAGTATTGCTTTACCTGATTAGGTGTTATCATTGACTCATGGTCCCTTTCTTGTCTTAACCAAAAATTCCTTCTGTCTGCTTTATTGTAAGTTTTTCTCCATTTGTTAATACTTAGTTTTAGATGGTTTATATCTAAGCAGTTACATTTTGAAAGAAGTAATGCAGAACTATCTATCAACAAAAAGTCACAGAGGTCAATTAATGAAAACAGATACTTTTTGATAGAGCCAGGTTTCAAGTCATTAGCCACAAGTTTTGGAATATATACACCTCGAACTGTTTCAACATTAAAAACATCAGAAATATTTTCTTTGACTTCTACAAGACAAAAGAATTTCTTTACATCGCTAACAGTTCTATTTGCAGAACTTTTTTTACGTAAATTTTCAGGACCAAGTAAAAAGTTTAAGAATTTTTCAAGAAATAAATTTATACAATTATGAAGTGGTAAAAAAAAATCTTCTGCCACAAAAGATTCATCAGTGTCATTTTCCTCAGAACCTTCATCTTCATTATCAGTGTCATCTTTATCTGAATCAAGGATTGTAGGCATCTTTCTGCTATCTGCTATTGTTTTAGCACTATCTGCTAAAAGAACATCAACATTAACTAATTCTTTAGATGCTGTGAAAGATGAAACATTTTGTATTGTAGATGCATTATCTTCTGCCAAGGAATTAACTGGATCAAGTATAGGTTGCAAATTGTTATTAGAAACAAAAGATTCTTTCTGACTGTTGTCATTCAACAACTTGACTGTCCCTAACATTTCATTTTTATTATATTTTTTTGGAGATAATAAATTGATTGTAAGAGTATCATTTAATGGGAATATTGCTGATTTTTTTAATAAACTTTTATAACTTTCATCAGATGATTTAAGCCCATGAACATTTTTCAGGTGATCATCTACTCTGATTACTGCACTGAAACAACCAGGAATAGGACACTCATTTAAATGACTTAACTCAGATGACCTTTTCCTTAAATTAAAACGAGTTAATGCTTTTTTTACATAATCTTCTGGAATGTTTTTATGTTTTTTGCTACGTAAATGCCTGGGAAGATCAAGGGTTTCTTTAGAGCATCCATCAATAATACACTTAATTTTTCTACGTTGATTTGAGCTATTACAAAAAAAAAAAAAAAAAAAATTAATCAAATTTGATATATGGGCATAATACTTAGAACTGCTGCATACAAATACTAAAATATAAGTGTTACTTAATTAAACTTTAATGTTTTAATTTAGTTTAGATCTCAAATTTTATAAAATACAAATTCATACTAATCTACAAAGCAATAATACAGATGAGAAATCCCAAAAGGGATATTGAAAGTCAGAGGCAATCATTATTTTACATGAAGTTTTACAATGTATTGGAGCTTCACAAATATTTAGGGACTTCAATACTCAATATAAATTAATCAAAAGTCCTGAATTTTAAAAATATTGAAGACCTAAAAATCGAAAAAAACTCACCCACTTTTTTTATTCTTGGAAACCTTAAACATAAAATAATTCAATTTTCTACAAGTAATAAAAGTTCAAACTCATCAATAGGCAAAATTATCTAAATTTAAACATGCTTACTTAAAAAAAAATAAAAAAACTTATTTATTTAATGCAAAACAAGAACATTATATAGATCATTAGAACATAATTAACCTCTTTTAAATCTATATCATCGGTAGGAAACAAAATACGTGACAATGATTGATTCTTTGTTTCATATACTGTACTCTAAAAAGCAACAAGTACAGATTTTCTAAAACAATATAACTCTAATTAGAAAATAAAAGTCTTATTTGCATTGATCCTAGAATGCTGGTATGAAAAACACATTAACAAATCTCAATAATATAAAAAACCATCTAGCTTGAATATGTTTACTTTAAATTAAATTGTAAGAAGACATAAATTTCTTATGAAAACAATGTTTATTTAAGTTTTCACTTTTTCATTGTTAAACATTGTTTTAATCACAATAAAATTGTTAGTTTAAATCACGATAAAACTGTTACTCAATTACAGTTAAACCACAATAACATAGTTTACATAGTAATATATACAATTCTAATTCTAACTCAATTTGGAAACCCTTATTTAAAAACAAGAAAAAAACAAGCTAAATTAGAAGCACAGCAAAACCAATAGATCTTATATCCATTAGAGCAAGCCAATCATAACATAAATTACCTTTTTCATATCTAAATCTTGGGTATGAGACAAAGCACGCAATGATGATCGATTTTTTGTTGCATATATTGCACTCTATATACCAACAAGTACATTATAATTAATAGTAAAAAATGATACATGATAATTTATAGTAAAAAATGAAATTTCAAATTGAAACTTGACATCTCAGAATCACAAAATATATAAGCAAATCTCAATAACAAGCAATAATATCAAAATATAAACATGCTTACTTAAAAACAAGAGAAAAAAACACTAAATTATTTAATGCAAATCAAAAGCATTAGAACTTATTTTATATACAGCTAGCCCATTATAACATAATTTACCTTTTTTATATCTAAATCATGGGTATGAGACAAAAAATGCGACGGTGATCAATTCTTTGTTGCATATATTGCACTCTATAAAATAAAAAGTACATTTAATAATTTCTAGTATAAAATGTAAATTTAAGTTGAAACTGACATATTATTTAACAATTATCCCAGAGTGACAAAATACATTAGCAAATCTCAAAAAAAAGCAAAGTCATCTAAAAATAAACACGCTTACTTTAAAACAAGATGGAAAAAGTAGTTGAATTATTCAATGCACAACAAAAAAACTAGATCTTATTTCATTTTAAGCTAGCCCATTATAACAGAATTTACCTTTTTTATATCTAAATCATGGGTATGAGACAAAGTATGCGACGGTGATCGATTCTTTTTTGCATATATTGCACTCTATAAAATAAAAAGTACATTTGATAAAATCTAGTAAAAAATGTAAACTTAAGTAGAAAATGACATCTTTTTAAGCCATTATCCCAGAGTGATAAAATAAATTAGCAAATCTCAATAAAAAGCAAAATCGTCTAAATATGAACACATTTAATAATATATAATAGGAAAAAATTGATTTGTTTAATAAAAAACAAAAACATGAGATCTTATGTCATTTACAGCCACCCCATTATAACATAATTTACCTTTTTTATATCTAAATCATGGGCATGAGACAAAGTATGTGATGGTGATCGATTCTTTTTTGCATATTTTGCACTCTATAAAATAAAAAGTATATTTAGAAGTTTCAAGTAAAAAATGTTAAAATAAGTAAAAACTGACATCTTTTTTTTTTGCCTTCATCCCAAAGTGACAAAATACATTAGCAAATCTCAAAAACAAGTAAAGTCATCTAAAATTAAACATGCTTACTTAAAAACAAGAAAGAAAAAAAGCTGAAATGTTAAATGCACAACAAAAACATTAGATATTATTTCAATTACAGCTACCCCATTATAACATAATTTGCTTTTTTTATATCTAAATCATGGGTATGAGAAAAAGTATGCGATGGTGATTGAATTTTTATTGCATATATTGCACTCTTTAAAACAATAATTACATTTAATAATTACTAGAAAAAATTTAACTTTGAATTTCAATTACATGAAATTCAATATAACAAAATTTACCTTTTTTACATCTAAATCATGGATAGGAGACAAAGAACACGATAGTGATTGACTTTTTGTTGCATATATTTCACTCTATAAAACAACAAATACAATTCAAAATTTTCTAAAACAAATTCTTTCATTAGAATATGACATCTTTTTTTTTGCCTTGATCCCAGAGTGACAATATATATTAGCAAATCTCAAAAACAAGTAAATTCTTCTGAAATTAAACATGCTTATATAAAAACAAAAAAACAAAAAAAGCAATAGATCTTATATTTATAAGAGCCAGCCAATCATAACATAAATTAACTTTTTCATATCTAAATCATGGGTATGAGGCAAATTACGCAATGATGATCAATTTTTTGTTGCATATATTGCACTCTATATACCAACAAGTACATTATAATTTATAGTAAAAAATAATACATGATAATTTATAGTAAAAAATGAAATTTTAAATTGAAACTTGACATCTTAGAATGACAAAATACATAAGAAAATCTCAATAACAAGCAATAATATCTAAATTTAAACGAGCTTACTTAAAAACAAGAGAAAAAAACACTAAATTATTTAATGCAAATCAAAAGCATTAGAACTTATTTTATATACAGCTAGGCCATTATAACATAATTTACCTTTTTTATATCTAAACCATGGGTATGAGACAAAAAATGCGACGGTGATCGATTCTTTGTTGAATATATTGCACTCTATAAAATAAAAAGTACATTTGATAAAATCTAGTAAAAAATACAAATTTAAGATGAAAATGACATCATTTTAAGCCATTATTCCATAGTGATATAATAAATTAGCAAATCTCAATAAAAAACAAAATCATCTAAATTTGAACACACTTAATAATATATAAGAGGAAAAAATTGATTTGTTTAATACAAAACAAAAACATGAGATCTTATGTCATTTACAGCCACCCCATTATAACATAATTTACCTTTTTTATATCTAAATCATGGGTATGAGACAAAGTATGTGATGGTGATCGATTCTTTTTTGCATATATTGCACTCTATAAAATAAAAAGTATATTTAGTAGTTTCAAGTAAAAAATATTAAAATAAGTAAAAACTGACATCTTTTTTTTTATGCCTTGATCCCAAAGTGACAAAATATATTAGCAAATCTCAAAAACAAGTAAAGTCATTTATAATTAAACATGCTTATTTAAAAACAAGAAAGAAAAAGAAGCTGAAATGTTTAATGCACAACAAAAACATTAGATGTTATTTCAATTACAGCTACCCCATTATAACTTAGATTACCTTATTTTTATCTAAACCATGGGTATGAGATAAAGTATGTGATGGTGATTGATTTTTTATTGCATATATTTCACTCTATAAAACAGTAATAACATTTGATAATTTCTAGAAAAAATGTATTTTTAATTTTAATTACATGTAACTTATTATAACGTAATTTACCTTTTTTACATCTAAGTCATGAATAGGAGACAAAGTACACGATAGTGATTGACTTTTTGTTGCACATATTTCACTCTAAAAAACATCAAATACAATTTAAATTGTTCTAAAATGAATTTTTTCATTAGAATGTGAAATCTTTTTTTTTGCCTTGATCCTAGAGTGATAAAATACATTAGCAAATCTCAAAAACAAGTAAAGTCATTTAAAATTAAACATGCTTACTTAAAAACAAGAAAGAAAAAGAAGCTGAAATGTTTAATGCACAACAAAAACATTAGATATTATTTTAATTACAGCTACCCCATTATAACTTAGATTACCTTTTTTATATCTAAACCATGGGTATGAGATAAAGTATGTGATAGTGATTGATTTTTTATTGCATATATTTCACTCTATGAAACAATAATTACATTTGATAATTTCTAGAAAAAATATAATTTTTAATTTTAATTACATGTAATTCAATATAACAAAATTTACCTTTTTTACATCTAAATCATGAATAGGAGACAAAGTACACAACGGTGATTGACTTTTAGTTGCATATATTTCACTCTATAAAACAATAAATACAATTCACAATTTTCTAAAACAAATATTTTCATTAGAATATTACTTTTTTTTTTTTTTTTGCCTTGATCCCAGAGTGACAAAATATATTAGCAAATTTCAAAAACAAGTAAAGCCATTTAAAATTAAACATGCTTACTTAAAAACAAGTAAGAAAAAAAAGCTAAAATATTTAATGCACAACAAAAATATTAGATGTTATTTTAATTACAGCTACCTCATTATAACTTAGATTACCTTTTTTATATCTAAACCATGGGTATGAGATAAAGTATGTGATGGTGATTGATTTTTTATTGCATATATTTCACTCTATAAAACAATAATAACATTTGATAATTTCTAAAAAAATGTAATTTTTAATTTTAATTACATGTAACTCATTATAATGTATTTTACCTTTTTTACATCTAAGTCATGAATAGGAGACAAAGTACACGATAGTGATTGACTTTTTGTTGTACATATTTCACTCTACAAAACATCAAATACAATTCAAAATTTTCTAAAATTTTTTCATTAGAATGTGAAATCTTTTTTTTATGCCTTGATCCCAGAGTGACAAAATACATTAGCAAAACTCAAAAACAAGTAAAGTCATTTAAAATCAAACACGCTTACTTAAAAACAAGAAAGAAAAAAAAGCTGAAATGTTTAATGCACAACAAAAACATTAGATGTTATTTCAATTACAGCTACCATATTATAACATAGTTTGCCTTTTTTATATCTAAATCACGGGTATGAGAAAAATGTGATGGTGATTGATTTTTATTGCATTTATTGCACTCTATAAAACAATAAATACATTTGATAATTTCTAGAAAAAATATAATTTCAAATTTTAATTACATGTAATTCAAACCTTGGAATAAGGGTCGGCATTTGGCAATGTCGACCTAACTGCCGACCTAAACCTGTTTGAGGTCGGCAAAAAGACTTGCATCTGCCGACCTGATGCTGACCTCTTAAAGATTGAGGTCGGCAATTAACCTTTGCATTATTGCCGACATCAATTTTTCTTATTCCGAGGGTTGTGTATATATATATACATATATATTTTTTAATTTATTTTATGTTAGATAGTACATTTTATTTATTACATTTGTAGATAGAACAAGAAAACAATGAGGGGACAATATATTGCACTAGAAAAAGCAACAAGAATGTGTCTACTACACTTAAACAAGGGTGCTAAAAGTTTAGTCTACCAAATCACAAAGAATTAATTATATTATTATATACTATATTTGATAGTTTGTTTGACATGGCTAACTAAACAACTTAATTGTTTGTTTGGTCAAAATAAACAAATAAACTGTTTATGTCAAAATAAACAACTAATTTGTTAATTGTCTAAACAATTTAACTATTATTTTTATTAAATCTGTACCTGGCTTTAAAAGCTCAGTATCATTATTGTACTTAAAGATCTTCAAAGATTTGGTTAGCATACCACAATTGAACAGTGTTGCACTTATACTAATGTAGGACTTTTCATTGGGAAGTGCCATTTGTTAAGGGCATTTTTTTTCTTCTTTAAAACTGTGAATTCACATTAAATTAAATGGCAAAGAAGAAATTTTAAACAAAAAACTAGGCAGATGCCTACTCATAATACATGGATTGATTAATAAAGATTAAAGTAGTTTATAGAATTTCTATAAGAAAATAGTATATTGTAATTCCTAGATAACAAATTTGATTGGATAAAAATATATATTTGCAGTAACTATCATACTAATTTTAAAAAAATTAGGAGCAATTATTATTATTTCGTTATTGAGGATAAATATAATATTATTTTATTACTGAGGCTATTTTATGGAACCTTTCGAATTTTTGTATGGGTGACAACTAAAAAACCAAAAAATAAATATATTACAGGCTTCGGCGGGAATAAATGAACACTAGAGTAGAGAAAAGCTCTCCTAAAACGAACTTGGGGAGCTATGCGAGCTGCTCCACTTTTAAATTAGCGCTCTTTTTAAATTTTTTTTTGCAACAACCGTGCTTCTTAAAAAGCATTGCAGTATATATTTTTAAAAATTAAATTGTGTTTTTTATTTGAGTTACAACAATTATTATGATTTAGTGAGAAAAATTATACTTTTTGTGAGATTTAAATTGCTCCCGTAAACTGTTTTACGGGAGCAATTACTAATTTGTAAATCTGCTAGTTTACAAATAATGTTAATCCTTAAAAAATATATATAAATTAAAATTTTTTATTTTGTTAGGATGAGAGAAATCGTTTGAAAATTTTAAAATCTTTTAAATTTAAGATTGATTACTTTCTAAAGAAAAATAATAAGAACAAATCAAATTTTATTTAAAATTAAAATAAGAGAGAGATTATAATATTAACATAAATATACCTTAATAACAATAAAGCATACCTTTTCACTATTAGTATCAACCTTAAGGGAATTAGAAGGAGAAAGATTCTTTGTTACACTCTGAAATTTTAACAATTTGGTATGCAATAAATTATAATTATTATAATTTTAAGGAGAAATAATAGATGACAAATCAACTCAATATTATCTAAATGATTGTGGTAATAAAAAACAACGCAACAGATGCACAGACAGTTATAAATTGTAGTACCTTTAACAAAGGAGAACTTGATTTTATAGCATGAATCTATTAATAAATTTAAAATTAAAAATAAATAGAGCCTAAAAACCATTAATTTAAGGGTTTTATATTTTAAATAAATTATAAAATAATAATAATAATAAAAAAAAGAAACAACCTAAACATAGCTTACAAAATTAAAACTGGGTTTAAATTTATTTTTTTGAATATCTATGTGAACAATATTTAACTGCAAATGCAGTAAAAAACCAAACAGTAAAACAAAATTAGGCAAAAACTTTGCAACAACAACTTATAACAACAACTTATAATTAACATTTTATTAGTTCAAAGTAACAAAACTTATTTGAGATTATTATTTTGGTTTTTTCTAAAATACACACAAAGAAAAATATTTTTCAAAAATTCTAACTTCTCAAATATAATCCACCATATAATAAAATTTTTTGCTAAATATGTTTCTTATCTTAAGTGATTTGCTTAAATATGTTTTTAAAAAAAACTTGAAAAATATTTCTAGAGATTTAAAACTATATTGTAGTTATAAAATTAAAAATTGAAAACTCATTAAAAACAAAATATTCAAAATTTCAATTTAAAAAAATGCAAGGAGAGAGATGAAAGTTTTTTCATTAGAATAATGCAAAGAGAGTAAATAATTAAAATACTTGAAATAAGAAAACATCTTATATAACATAACAATTTAAATCTTACATAAAATAACAATTAAAAAATAAATGAAAATTGTATAAAAACAAAAAAAAAAAAATTTTTAATGAAATATTTTATAAAAAATAGTCAAGCAGGAATTTGTGACATAATTATGTTAAATAATAATTAAAATGACAAAAAATCTTTAAAGTCAATGCTTAAAATATCCAAAACATATAATAAAAACAATCATATATTACCGTAAAATCAATATCTGCTTCAACTCTTTCCAATAAACTAATTTCTTCATCAACAATACTATATTTAATGAAAGAAATGGTTAAAAAGGAGAATAAAAAATAAATAAATTAGGACTTAGATCTCAAATAAAATACAGCAATGGTTTCTTTTTTATAGGTTTATATTGTAATTATAGTTTGTAAATATAATATATTTATAGTTTGTAAACATAACAATACAAAATACCTTAATTTGTTACTTTGAATGCTTTCAGAAAAAGAGCTTAAAATCTAATTTTAAAGAAATAGTTTATTTTATATAACTAATAATTATTAAATAAGAAATTATGAAATTATTATTAAAATATTTTTCAATAATTAAAAAATACTTAATTAATTAACACTAATTTAATGTAGAAAAAAACCATAATTACAAAGTTATAAGAAACTTACTTCTGATGCTTTTAAAAATACTTTTTTTTGCAATGTCTAAAAATTAATAAAATTCATATCTAATCATTTGTATAAAATTAATATTACTATACCACACATATATAACAATATTTCATGAATAATCAGTTTACAGAGTATTTAAAAAAAAAAATTTTAAGGTATCCCTAAGTGCTACTAACATTTTTTTTTATAAATAAAAGAGCATGAAAAAATAATGTGTAATTTTTTTTTCTTTTTAACTAAATTGTAATATTAAATGCATACTAACAAAAGCACTCGTCGAAATCACTGAAAAACGTAAATAATAACATTTGTTTGTCACAACTACTTTAGAATATCTAATTCAGTTTTCAAGTAATGTTTTTGAAAAAAAAGTAGTGATTTTAAAGTTAAATTTTAATTAGTTTTGTAATAAAAGTATAAAAGAATTCGGTTAGAAAAAATCTTTCAAAAAGTCATTAAGTGAAAGTGAAAGATTGGCGATATAAAGACTATTAAAATAAGAACTATAAGTGATAGAAATAATAAGATATAATAAGCGATAAGAACTATAAAAATTGCAAAACAATTAAAATTTATTTCTTTACCTAGTAAAAAAAAATCTGATGCCGCGAACTAACTATAAATTATTTGTTTGTTTTTAAAACCTTTAAACTATATTTTAAATGCTTTAACTTAAACACTTTAAATTAAATCATTTGATTAATTAATTTGTATACATTTGTTTATATATATTTTCATACACAAATTTATTATGGAAATTAAATTTAATCACATCAAAATATTACTTAAAAGAAAAGTTAGTCTGTTGCATTTTTTATGTTTTATACTTTAATATTATATAATTATACGTACAACAAGAAATGTCATTGAAACTTAATGAACGTTTATATATACTCTTTTTTTTTTGCTTTAAAATTTTTTTTAAACTTTTAATTTTTTTTAAACTTTTAAATTTTTTTAAATTTTAAACTTTTTATTTATCTTTTATTATTTTAAATTTATTTTAAAAATTTAAAAAATTTTAAGAAAATCGCGTCTTAGAATTTACAAATCAAAAACATTTATTCCAATTATGTGACTTAATATATAGATTAAAAATTGTCAGACGCGGCAAACAAACCATATAACAATTAAAAAAACTACAAAACGCTAACGCTTTTATAAAGCAAATAAAAACAACATAAAAAAAAATTAATTATAATATTTTCAATAGGAATATACTTTGCGCCTTAAATAACGTAAAAGATATTCATTAAATATAAAATTAAATAAATAAAAAAATGCTAAGTTAAATATTAATATTATATAAAATATATATGTAATCTGTTTATTTTTTTTTTGATAAGCACATAATGAAAATGCAATTGGAAAATGGTAAAATTTTTTTGTATTAACAAACATAATTTTACCTTTATTTTGATTGTTTTAATGTGTTATAATAATAAAATTAATACATTTGCAATAATGAGATTTGGTCTACTTTGTTTAATTTGACGTACAAACATTAGTATTTTGAGACAATAGAGGAAATGAACTTCGGACAGCACATATTTTTTTAAATCTAAGTAAAGCGTTTTATGAAAATTAAATTTGTAAATGTTACTACATTTTAGCAAGAATAATATTCATTAAAGTTATTTTTTTTGATGCTTTTTCATATGTAATCATGTTTATAACACTTAGAGATCCTTTTAAACTACTGTGCAAAAAGTATGCTCAACGCAATTCTTCAAGGAATGCATTAACATCTAAATTGCACTTACTAATTTATCTACGATTACCTATTTTACAAACGGTTCAACTACAAAATTGATACCTAATTTATATTTTGATAAAAAGGTGATTTGATATCAATATATTATTTATATAAATTATGTTATTAATTTACCATGTAAATTAATAACTTAAATTTTATCAAATAAATTTTATTAATAACAAAGGCAAATTATAAAATAACACTACCTTGCCTACAAAAAGTGACTCCTTTACTTCATTTACTGTAAATGGTGATTTATAATTTTCCTAAAATAAATTCTTCATACAAATATGTTAAATCATGAAGAAAAATTTAT